GAAAAAGCACAGATATTTGTGTGAATGGGCATAGGGACCAGGAGGACATTTACCCCCTCATCTCCAGCCTCCAGGGTATTGTCCAAGAATAACAAAAAGGACCTTTACCTTTCCTTGCTGCATTAGCAGATTTATCTCGATATTCAGTGGCAGAGTTGTAGGTTTCGGGTGCTGAAGAACCCCTTCCCTGCTCTGACAGACCTGTGCAACAGGTCTTCTGCCTCCCTGTGCAGAGTGAAGCTCTATATGGTAGACACAGGGTTCTGAAATAGATTTTACTGGATGCCTTTGCATGAAGGAATTTGCTGAAACCTGATCCTTTCTGTAGCTTCTTCCCCAGTCTGTAGGGGTGTCTCATGTCCCCATTGTCTCATGTGCCTTTGTTTTAAAATAATATTAAGCCTCAGACACCAGCTGATTTACTTTAATTCAACATCCAACTTATGTTTGATTTCTTTTCATATTCAAGTGAGCCATCTGGCTTTAATGAACTGTAACTGTTTTTAATGCTGCCTCCAGTTGCTAACATCTGAATATTTCATGTGTTGAAAGGAGGTTTGAAATGCACAAGTGAGACTGAAGAGTCCGAAGAATTTCCAAATCAGCTCTGTTCCAGCAGCACTTGTGCTCCCCTCCCCTTGAGATTTATCAAAAGATAATCTTTGGGGTGCCAGACTGTAAGCATCAGCCATGGCGGGTGCTAATTACAAGTACTCTCAATTTTGTGTACATAAAACACCAGAGCTGCTTATGAAATCCTGAATAACTACCCAACTTGACTTGGGCAGAATATCAATCAACTTCAACAGGAGCTGCCAGTATTTGGCATCTTTTAAATAAACAGCCTCTTTGGTGTTTGGTTTTGGGGTTTTTTTTTGGGGGGGGAGGGGTGTCTTAAATATTTCCATGTTGCAAAAAAAGATGAAGTTAGTTTTACATCATCTAGTTTAGTTATAGAAGTTAATTGAGAGCTGGATCCCATAAACTGAAAATATCTTAATTGCAATTAAATTCTGAGGGTACTTTGCCAGGGCTACGCTATTAGAAACCAGTGGCATATCCCCAGATTTGTTGGACTACATGCTTTGCTCGGCATTTTTCACAGCGTTGCCTTTGTTTTGGCTTAGCAGTGTGACAGCTGATAGAGTTATGATAGGCCATTACCAAGAAATATTTTGAGTAATGATTAAAAAGTATTTTGTGGTTAGTTCTTCACTGCCAAGCATCGTGCAGGTTGCCAGTGACATCACCTTCCAGCATTACTTCATAAAGAATAGAATAAAAGGAAGCTTAGACTGTCAGTCTGTCTACAGGAGGAAAGTCTTCGGAAAAGATAGGCTGGGAACACGCGGTTGCGTTAGCTTACCCTGCACTGCTTTGTCCGGAGAGCTTGGAAGAAGTATGTAAGGAACCATTGGAGGTTGATTGATACCTGTGCTTAATTTCTCAGTAACTTTCTCCTAGAGACAGAGCTGAACCGGGAGTTAACTTGTGACCTTGTAGGTATATGCTGAGTACAGTCTTTTTGAGCTGGAGGGGAGTAGGTTAGAAGCAGTATAGCAGAAATTGGCAGCTGAGTTCCCTTCCAGAAGCATTCCTGAAGCTGTAATGAATAAAACCGTATTAATCTCTTCTACACAGTAGATTAAGCTACCATTCAATAGGAGCTCTTAATGATACCTCTTGCTACTCTTAAAATTTTTTATTCTCAAATGTAATGAAATTTTTAAAAGTTGGCTGTATTTTTGATTGTACTTGAGAACTTCCTACACCACTGAGCATTGTTGGTGGATATTTCTTTAATTCTATTCAAGTTTGTTGTTTTATTTGTGTGTGAATGAAGCTACCAGTGTTGAGTACAGGAGATTTCAGCCAGGCTTTTCAGAGCTTTGCACTGCAGTTCCCTAAAATTCATGCCAAAAACTGTAGCTCAGTCTACAGTACAACTTTGGCATCTCACTTCCAGTTGAGGTGTAACTCGAGTTTGGTTTGACTTGTGTGATATTGCCAGCTAGCAAGCCTGGGTGCTCCACAGACATGCTTAGGACATGTGCAGCCTGCTACAGAGCATTTTACAACTAAGCTGTGGAAATCCACAAAATGGAACTATAGTACTTTGGGAAGGTTTGGGGGTTTTTTTTCCCTTTTTTTTCTTTCCAAGTTCTCTGTGTCTAAACAGTGGAGGCATGTCTTGATTAACTTGCTTTGCATGGGGACCGTGGGAGCCTAAAGATACTGCTAATCAGCAGGGACAGTGACACTGCCCTTTCCCGTCGCAGCGACGGGCGTCCGCCCAGTCCTCGTGCCTGGGATGACGGGAGCTGCCTTCTCTGTTCGCTCTGAGAGACCACTGAGGAACTGGGCAGGCAAGCTGGCAGAAACAGTCACTCTCCCATTTAAAACTTCCCTATAATAGAACAACTTCTTCAAAATACTTCAATTTTTAACAAATAGACAGATTTTCAAAGAAAAAAACATTTAGTTAGATTTTTTCAGACCAGCTGTAGTTCACAAACTGCTTATTTGAATGGCAATACAAATGCAACTGCGGCCTGCATAAAGCTGCTTAAGGTCTGCTTGCAGTTGTGGTGGGATGGAAGATGCTCTTGCAAAGAGAGAAGGGCTGGATAATGTCTCAGTCATTTGTAGTTACCGTGTGTCCAGTCCAGTTAGGACTCCAGAACTGAAATCATGGTTGCACCTTTAGAAGCAGTATCATATTGGAAAATCTCTCATTTGTGATACTCATTTTGAAGTAAGATTTTTGTGTTTCCATCTGCCTGGCAACTTACATTTCTTCCAGATTTGTCCATGCTGTAGTAGGAAAAAAACCCACTTAAAATAGGTTGCTTTCTTTAACCTGAAAAAAAAAAAAAAAAAAAGACGACCCTCCCACAAAACCTGTCTAAGGATTATTGGGTAGTCTCCATAGACATTATAGGTATACAAAACTCAAAAAAATTTAAGACTTTTCAAATGTGTAGGGCTTCCTTTTTTTAAACCATAGTTTTTCAAAATGTGTTTAGGTGAGAAGTGCAGCCTGTGTTTTTTAAAACCTGATTTTTAGTCCTCGACATTATTTCTGGTATCTTGCTTAAAAAGAAAAAACAGGTGCTTCCCAGACATTCAACAAGAATGCAAAGGGTATTTGAAGATTATCTTTTCTTTACAAGAAATTTTAAGCCAATAATCTTGTTTTTGGGGCCCCCTCATGCCCCATCTCATTGATTTATATAAAGTTGTCAGTCAAAGTGTGATATTGATAAAGAAACATGTAACCTAGGCTTTTATTTACTATACAACTTCACTTTAGTGGAGGATTTTGTAGGGGAAAAAATACTCGCAGTGCATTGCCAGTGCAGTGAACTAGTGGGCTTGCTTTAGACCTGTCCTTCCTTGGTTTCTACCATTAATAATGAAATAATGATTTAATTGCTCCTAGGAATAGGTTTGAAAGTTATGGCTTCTCGTCACAAAATGTTTAGGAGTGTATTTCTGCTCCCTTCTTTCTTTTTCTTTTTTTTTAACCTGGTAGGTTAAAAAAAGAGATTATTTCCCCTGATACACATCAGGGCAGGAATACCTTCAGCTTGCACAACTGTAAAACACTCTGTGTGCGCACGCACGTGTGTGTAGTAAAATGAAGGTGTGAAAAACAGCCAGTTTCAGGGCATTTTTTTTATATGTGCCATTCTCAGATGTTCTGCAAGGCAATAGTTTCTGGTTTGGGGTAACAGAAGAAGACGTTAAACGGTTCAGACATCTACATGTGTATGGCCTCTGTATTTGTAGGGTGCGTTTGTCAAGACAGACTGCAAAATTTTCTTGTTGTGCTGTCCCCAAAACAATTCGGGGTTCTATTGGCAGAGATGGGTATTAAGAGAGTAGGGAGGGGCTGTCTCCCTTGGTGATGAAGGTGATGCTTTAGAAATTTGGTGAGTGGAATGACTATGTGTTACAGGTAGGCTGGAGTTCTATCACTTGCTTGTTTTTTCTCATACCACAGGATCATAATTGTAATGTAACGTAGTTAGGAGCAGTCCTCTGCTGTTGTACAGGACTGCTTCTCCTTGAAGAACCATTGGCATGGGTGAAGTCAGTACAGACATCTTTTCAGTATACAGAATTACAGGTGGGTGTACCTGTATTGAAGATCTCAAAATATGTTTTACCAGCTAATATACAGTAAAATGAACTGCCCTAAAAACCAAAGAAAATTTTAAGACTGGCAAAATGTTATAAAATGAAATGAAAATAAAGTACATATCTTGATTGTATCTTGGTATACAGACTATTAATTATTTTTTCCACTTGTATAAGAGACAACATTTTGATAATAAATGAGTTACTGTATCATAGCAGAATGGTTTCACTGGTATCTTCAAGTCCTATTAAAGTGACGAAATGATGGCTCCTTGCTTGAACTGTTAAGAATCTAGTATGTTTAAAATGTATAGGTATATTTAAACTTGTCTTATAGCCATTCAAGACCAGAGTTGCAAATGGCCTGAAGGCTTGTGGAAAGCAAATGGCTAAAGTATTAGAAACGCACAGCCTGAGCAGACATTTTGTAAGCCTTGTTATGCTCGCTCTCAGTTTGGCTTTCTTTACTTCAGACATTTTCATTGGTCCAGGTGACAAAGGAGCTGGATTCTTGTTTTGTCTTGTTCCTAAGCCATGACTTGGTTAGTTCCCTGCTTCTTTAGCTGTGTGAATGTTTGAAGGAGCTTTTGAGATGGCTGGATTTGTTGCGGGGCTGAAGAGATGTTGAAAGTCAGCTTTATAATTGACTGGTTTAGGAAACATTTTTTTTCCTAGAATCAGTTTGGTCTGCAGATGAGAGGTGTGGAATAGCTAAACATACATAAACGCAGTGAGATGCCCTTGTTTGCTTTAAGGTTTTTGGCTTATTGCTGGAACAATGTTTTTAATGTATCTTAAAAGTAGTTAAAATCCAATAAAGATTTTCTTATCAGTTGTTCCTTTTAGTTTTTTTTCAGGATCCCTTCTTGAATGTCCTGGCTGCCTGTAGAATCCAAGGCAGGAGGCAACTCATGACCACCAAACCGTGACAGCCTCAGATTCCCCTGCTTCTGGCTGCTTGAAATAACCACTGGGCTACTGTGGAGATGAATGGAGAACAGCAGTATGATGCAGGTAATAGTCCGGCTGAGCTCGCTGGCTAACGATTCTCAAAAAACTTGGCAAGTGAGATGGAACAAAGATGAGCACAGTGCATCTTTCATAGTGCATGTGTCTGATGCTGTGTACTGTATATGGGGAGAAACTCAAATTTCAATGACTGTGAGTTAGATTCTGGCTATGAGCTTATGTTTGTTATTGCTCTATTTCAAAAGCCGGGTGTATCATTGGCTTAAAGGAGAACAAAATCTGACCCACCTTAGTAATTGTGTTTTCAAGAAGCTGTCTCTTTCCTCTTCATGGTACCACTATGAGATGGGCTTATGAAAAGCTCAGTGGCTTTAACACTACTGTTTTAAGGCATTTGTCTGTCAAAGTGGTTAATGTTATCTTGTTCTGTCCTTGTGTTCATCTTGTTCTTAATATTTTGACAAGGTTGTGCTGCTGGTTTAAAAAGTCAGATAACTGAAGTTGGTTGCTGCCATTGTAATCTGTCCTGTTTTTCTGATGTTCCTTGTTGCGCCTGCTTTGATAGGCTTGGGATATCAACTCCTAACCTGCTGCAGAGTGGTATGTTATGATAAACTAGCTCAGGTTTTGGTTCACCTTGAAACACCAGGCTGGGAAGAGTGTCAGTCTGGGATGGCTGGGGATATTAACAGCTTTCTGAAACAGTTCTGGGATCGTACACTCTCATGGGGGTAGGGACCATCCGTTTTTCTGACTTGCCTGCCATGGTTCGTTCCTTTTCCTTGAGGAGGTCCCTACCTATAATGTTAGTACAGTTAATATAAAGCAAATTTTAATTTGTATTTACCAGTGTAAACAATTGGATTAGGATTTTATCTGAGTATTACTTTGCTTTGGTACTTGTCCAACAAGCAGCTCTTCTCATAGGACAATTCACCATTGGTAGTTTTTGTACCTTTCCTTTATGGAAGTCTAATTGCTGTCAGTGTTACTGAAGAAATCTTAAACATGATTTTAATCTACAGTGCTTTTAGCAGAATGCTATCGTCTGCTTTATGATGCTGAAATTTGCTTTTTGATTATTAATTATAGCCAATCAGTCAAGTTGTTGTCAACATTATATCCTCAAATAAGCAAGAAGAAGCAGCATGCACAAGTATGTAGAACATCTCCAGGCACATGCAAATACTGTTTCCTCTGCTAGTGGAAACTGCTAATTTCTGTCACATAGTGTAAGAAAGAGAAAAGGCTTTGAGCAGCTGAGAACGGTAAGGAGATGTATACATGGTCAGTGATGGGGTGTTCACAGGCTGATAGCACATCCCTCTGTATTAAAACCTTTATTGACATTTTTCCATCTTCCTCAAAAAGTATCAGAGGTCACACAGTCCTCTCTATGTGCTTTTGGAATAGCTAGGAAGGGTTTGATACTGTCTTGAAATCGCTCAACAGCTATTTCCCTGAGCATCCTTTTTGTGCCTGGTTTGAGTACAGGTGGCTGTGAAAAGCAAACAGTAACTGAAGAGAGCTTTACTTGCTGAGTTCAAAGATAGTTTCCAGCAAATGCTACCCATGTAAGCATGAGCACATTGGTTTTGTTGTGCCCTCTAATAGTGTTTCCTGAAGTGCTTTGAGTTAGACCAGTCCCAATCACTACTGGAACGTTCCCTTCATCTTCTTTGACTGGTGTCATTTTTTCCATCTGATGATTTTTAGCAGTTTTTGGAGATTCCCCTCTGTCTTTTTGGTTTTTACATACAGGCTCTCTGCCTATAAGAACGCAGACAATGGTCAAGGTTGTTGGTTGTGATGCTCTCCTGCACTATGAGGGGAAAAGCCAACTTTCATTCTTGTCACAGTCTTTCTCAGCTGCTGAAATACCAACCTGTCTTTATTTATTCATGGCCTTGCAGCTGGTATAGATGGAAAAGATTAACTGTTATTAAAATCATATTGAAATATATCTAAGTTTCAGGGTGAGAAACCTTTAGGTTAGCCTTAATTGAAGGTCTTGCAGACTTCAGTGTGATGTACTTAAATGTCCAATACGACAGTCTTCAACTAAATCACATTAAAGATGCATGAAAATTATTTGCAGTGAGAATTTAACTCTAATCCAAAGATCAAACCAGTCTGGTGTCGACTGTTTCCATTGCAGGTATTTTTAAGGTCTAATGCCCTTAATATTTCACTACCTTCTTGTGTCCAAATGGTACAATTCAGTATTCTTTCTCTTCCTGTATGTATCAGAGAGCAGCAGGACATAATTCATGGTAAAATTCGGAAAGGAAGAGTTAGTGTTCACAGTAACGCTAGAAGAAATAGTGATGAATGGGAAGCGATATACCTACCTAGGAAACTTCTAATATTCTTACAGACGATTTTCTCACCTCCAGAGTTGATAAGCGTTCTCCACAGAACCTCTGTAGAACACTTCTCAGATTTTACTTGAGAAAATGTTAGCTTGATTTGAAAGCTTTACTGACAAAAACTAGTTGTATGGCAAGGCCACAGAGATGAGAATGGCATCTGGTTTCTTTCCCCACCTTTGCCAAAGTTGTGCTTTGCCACTGAGCTCATGTGTGGCTCAGTCATCCTGTCTAATATAGAAAAATATGTCTCCATATAGTAGAAAGCTGAATTCATTTAGGACTTGTAGCAATTAAGGATATGGGGAGAAAGAGAGGACATACAAATATATATACACCCATGCAGCGTTAGATTAATAAATTGTGCTTTAGGATTAAATGGATTAAATATGGTTTTGCTTGTTGTCATCTGTCATATTAATTTGCAAGTTTTCTCACAGTAGTGAGAATTTCTGGTGTAAATATCTGAGGTTTTATTGGGTAGTTTGAACTCAGACTGATCAGGACATTTAATACGGACATATGGCCCCTCAGGAATGTAGCTTCATTAAACTGGTCCTCTGTGTATCCCAGGATCTGCTAACCCGTGAGGATGGTGCTGTGCAATAGCATCTTGCAAAAAATACCAACAGATTACATCAAAGGCTTGATTTAAACAGGGCCTGTTCTGCTGCAACTGTCCTGCCAATAAAACCAGAAAAGCGATTGGATTCTGACTCTCAAAGATTCCCAGCTAGCGTGAGCCTTACCAGAGAGATGGTCCTCCGTCGTACTCTTGGAGTGTTTCTGCATTCAGATGTCGAAAAATAGATACTTGATTTCTGAGATTTTTCATGGTTTATGTAGTCCTACCACATGCCACAATTGAAAAACTAAGTTACTGCTCTCACTATGAAACCTCATACAGCATTTTGCTTGGAGCTTTATTCAGTGAGCTTTTCATGTCCACATTGACTCAGTAAGTGCTGCGCTAAATAACCTGCAATGCTGTGGCAGGGCTGTGTATGAGAAGCAGCAGATAGATTTGTTAAATCCTGTAGCTGAGCATGGCCCTGAGCTGTGTCAGCCTCCTAAAGGAAGGAAAGCACCTGAACTCCCAGCTATGTGCGCTCAGGGTTGAAGTGCAAGGCTAATCACCTAGTCTCATTTCATTGTAAAACCGTAGTAAAGTGGAAATGCAAGCTGAGTTGAACTCTTATGAATGAACAGAACAGCAAAAGTTCTGGGTGCTTTTTTAAAAAGTTTTAAAAAAAAATTCCCTCTGACTCAACAAAACTCCCTAAAATAAAGCAGGAAGGGTATTAAATTTGCAATGAGTGTTGGACAGGAATTTGTGATTTTTTTTTTTTTTTAATTATTTTTATTTTCCTCCTATGAAAAATGAGTTGCAAGAGAGCTTCTGTATGTGCTGGTGAGATTTGGGCACTGTACAGCACAAAGCAACCTGAGCCCTTCTCACCGCAGCCCTGCAAGGAAACAGCTCTTCTGGATATGAAAACATCCAGGCTACAGAGACCTGGAGTGACAAAGTGGAGTGACAAAGGACCTGCGGTAACTCTGATCCAGTTGGGAACTGGTTTTAACAGTAGTTAGAGGCAAAAGGGTAGCTGGAGCAGCATGGAAACTGGCTTTCTCAGGAGCTCCTTGTAGCAATTAAGTGGCAACGTAAGTTACTAATTGACCCTTTCAGTGTGTTAAGTGACCTGTGCCTCATTTAAGGAGCTTAACTGCCCCTTAGACAGTTATCTGATGATAACACGTTATTGAAGACTTGGTGCTGCAAGCAGCTTGGTAAAGAGCACGGCTGGAAAGCCTCAAGATCCGTGTAGTATTCCCAGGTCGATCTACTTGGCTTTCAGACTTGTTAAAAAGCACAGAGCAGTCACGTTGCTTTATGTTTCTCTTCAAACAGGAATGCGTTAGACATTGCAAGCAGTGCTTTTTACATACAAAGTGCTTTTTGGAGTTGGATGAAAGTGGGGTTGTTGCTGCTGTTTAGCAGTGGGGTGCTTTTCAGTGGGAAAGGGTGAGCTGGCTTTCTCTAGGCAGGAGAAAAAACAAAGTTTGCTCTTGGTTTTGCCTGACCACAGATGTGTTCGAGCTGATGTTTCTTCCCACTTCAGTTCTATAGGTGTGAACTTAAGCATTTTTATGGTTATATTAAAGGAAAATGCCGTTTTAATGACTTAAGAAATCTTAATCTGTTTTAACAACATTTTGCAATGAAATTATATTTTTCTTAGAATGACTTGCAGCCAAAGCTTTGATCAGCTCCACCCTAATTTGCAGACAGCTGTGGTCTGTGCCTTATCCTCTTTACTCCCTCAAAAATTTGAAAATAAAATTACTTACTTTTGTCCTTCTCTAGATCTGTTTCTTCAGTAAGTTAAAAATTATCCCTTAAAAGTGATGGTTATATTCAAGCTCTGAATTTTTTGAGCTCTGAGGCTTATGAAAGGCCAATATAACCAACTGTGGTTGTTTAAAAATAGCAAAATGAAACTGGGTTTGGGAGAGATATGAGCTGCCTTTAAAACAGATACTGTCATCAGCAAACAAAAGCTAACTGAATATACATTTCTAAATTTGGGGAAATGATAATTCCTACAATTACAATGAAAAGTCAAAGATGAGCTTAACAATCAGTTTGAAGATAAAATGAACCTACTTTACACTCAAGACTTGTAGGTTTTTTAGACTATTTAACACAGCTCAGACTTTTGGGCAAATATTTGCCCCTCTCTATTTGAGGACTAAGAACTGTTGTGGAGCATACTTAGCAGGTTGTCAGCGTGTCCACGGGTCTGATAAGGGCATGTAATAGTACTTCATTCATTTTTTTGGACATGTAATGTTTCCTACTCAAGCTACTACTCCTTGAAAGAACAGTTACCACCTGTCCTAAGAAAGGCTGAGTGTGTAGGAAATGTTGGTGTCCTGTAACCTTTGCTGAGCTCTCCCTATGCTTGTGATACACAGAGGTTTCTCTGTTTTCAAATATAAACAAGGTATCAGGTTTCCTGGTACTGAGAGACGGAAATCTCTCGTGTTCATTCATAAAGACAACTATGGTGCAGATGGTAGAATCAGTCTAAAACTGAAAATGAAAAGCTTTGCTTTTATGTCATGTAACTGCCATCCCATTTTGCTGCTGAAACTGATGTTGAGGTTAAAAATGCCGCTTACATGAGGAGGGACCCTCCCTTGTCATCCCACACTGTGCCTGCAGGAAGAATATAACGTGGCTGCGTGGTAAACTAAATGGGGACCTGAAATCCAACCTATGTTGGTTGCGGCATCTTTTCAGCAGAGCGGGTTACGTGTTGGAGAAAAAGGGACTAGGACGGGAGCAGGGAAGTGAGCCAAGAACTGAAGGGGAGACGGGGGCTGGAGGACAGGCATGACAATAATAATAGGAGATCTGACTAATTGGTAGTGTGGCTCACTGTAGCTGCTTGCTTCCCTAATGGCCTGAGTGAGTTTTGAACTGTGGCTTGAGTGGTTTTAGCACATTTTTGCTTTAAATGTATCCAGAAATGAGATTTTCTTGGTTTGAAGAAGCTGTCACCTTATGAGCTGGGTTTTTTTAAGTGACTAATTTGAGTGTTCTTGATTTCAGTTGTGTCTCAAGCTGTTTTCTGTAGAACTACCCTGAATCCTCCTCTGTGCTTTTGGTGTTTTATAACATCTAAATAAATACTATCTAACTTAAAAAAGAGGAGAGTCATATTTCAATTTTTTTTTTAGTCTTTCTTTTCAAACCTCTTACTATTGGTATTGCTGTTTCCTGGATGGTTTTTAATTTAATTTAACACACAGTCTGGTGTGCCCAGAGTTTTGTTGTTTATTTGTTGGTACAAATACAGAACTCTTCTGCCTATGTTCTCCTCTCACAAATTGTAAACAATTTGTGCTTAACCAAAATCCTCAGGATCTCACTATTTCTCAGACCAGATCCAACTTAAAGTGCCCTTCACGTACAAAGAAAGGCTAAATAGTGTTGTCTGTGTGTTGAAGTGTGTAACGAAGTTCACTGCGCACTTGTGTACTGAATCATTTGGAATTGAAGCAGGTTTTGCTGTAATTCTTAATAGACTAAAACTTAAGCCAACAGGTGCTAAATAGGAGGTGTTTGGCTTCTCTTTCAGATGCTGGTTCCAGCGTGGAAGAAGTGGAATTCAATTGGGATGAGTATCTAGAAGACACAGGAGCAACTGCAGCCCCCCATGGGTCTTTTAAACATGTGAGTAAGGGAGTGTGTGTTTACTTACCATCTCCTACATTGTTTTTTTGATACACTGAATGTTTAGGGTTTCTTTGAATGAGTTGATGCTCTCAAATCTGGAAGACTAACTAGAATCATGTTTCTTAGAGTAATGAGAAGTGAGGAATTTCACCTTTTTGTGTTGTTTCTCGTCTTCCTCTCTGTACATAGCACAGGGTAATCACATCCGCAAGTGCTGAAAGTTAAGGGACTCTTGGTCTTTTCTGCACGGGAAGATAAGCTTGATTTTTCTCATAAAGCCCAAACTGGCCAGTCTCTCTCTTCTTTTGGTGATTGCTACTGGACAACTGCTATGGAGGAGCTAGCTTTAGAAAGTTGGTGGCATAGTTCTTGAACAGCAGAATTCAATGTGCTCTCAAAGAAGGTTTTAATGGTGGCTCTCAAGGAGGCCAAGGAGAAAATAGTAGCTCTGCCAAACACTTGACTGTAGCAGTTAGAAAACTGATGAGGATAATTGTTGATCACAGGCTTAATGGGTAGGATGGAGTCTTGATAAGCCCTTGTCTTTGCCCTTGGATATCTTTAATCAAATGTTTGTTGGTAAAATCCTGGAGTGCACTGTCCCATTGGGTGAGATCTGAATGTGAAGTCTGCCTTCTTGTACGGGGTCATCGCTGAAGGTGAGCTGTATAGAGCTGGTTTCCAAACCTCTTGGATCTCTTCCAACAATTGAAACACCTTCTAGCCTGTATCCTTATCCAACTCTTTACTGAAGTTACTATTAAATAGTCTTTCAAAGACTGGCTGTGGGTCTTTTACCACGGCAGTGAGGGTAGTGACTTGTGTGTGGCACGTTGCTTGGAAAGCACTCTGTGGTGCTCAGGCTTTCAGGTCCAGAATCACCACTTCTCAGTACAGGAGACTTAAAAAGGAAAACGAACTGAGGTCTGTTCCAAAGCATTTTGAGTCCCAAGGTAACTGCAGAAGTGCAAAACATTAAAGACTGTATTAAAATACGGCAGTTGTATTAATAGTAAAGATGCGCAGTAAATGTAGACTTCGCAGAGGCTCTTCCGTACACTGGGATGTAATTGTAAGCTTTTTGTTAAAAATAAAGATTCGGGTATCTCATTTCTGAAGGGGAGAGGCCTGTGCTTGCTTTGTTTTTCCTTAGTGTACTAAGGCTCTAGCAAGAGCAAGCTTACTCAGAGTGGTGGTGTCCATGCAGCCTGCATTGAGGGAGCAGTATGGAATCGGAGCAGTGGCATTTTGCAGTAGTGCGAGGAGCAGCCTGTCTGCTCCTCTGGTGCGGTTTACCTTGCGTAATCTCTGTTAAAGAAGCTTGCTATCATAGCTCGGACATTATACAAACCAATTATAATGCCAGCTTTACAGTGGTGGCCAACTGAAATAACATTGCAGCTATATTTTGTTAATTGGCAGGAGACACGCTTTGAATGACTTTGTTACCCCTGCCCTGCACCCTTTGCCAACTTAGCTGTGTCAAACGAGGTCTGATTGCTGTGGCCATCGTCAGTAAAAATACAATTAGGTTTTAAAAAAATCCACATTTTCTATTGTTATTATTCCCTACGCCTGTAGAACACGGTGCAGTTTTGCTGGTGCAAGTAACGTTGTCGTGGAGAGTGCTTTCGCGAGCAGGTGTGGGCAAAGCCCAGCCGTGCCGCCCAGTCCTGTTCTGCTGCATTGGGTGCCCTCTTGTGGGCAGCGCGGCGGAGGAGCTGCGCCTGGGGAGCTCGGCTGGCCACGCTCCGCACCCCGGCACGGGGGGCTGGCCCGGGGACTCGGGGTGCCAGGAGCACTGCGCAGGGCGTCGTGAATGAGCCTGAAAATAGGTGCCTGCGAGTTCAGGAGGGGGACTGCCAGGCGTTTGCTAGCAGAGTTCCCTTAGAGTTTGTCTGGAGGCCAATTTTGATGTTCTCTGTAATAAGCTTGGCATAAAATTTTGGAAAGTTAATACTGGCACCGAATTGACAAGCAGAGAGAGGAGCATATTTACAGCAGTGTCGCATCACCTAGATCTTGCTGTTAATAGAAATTCAATAGGGCAAGGTCACATGCTTAGGATTTCTGCTGTCCGTTAGAAGGTAATGGTTTGGAAAAGGTAGAGGAGGAGAACCTCAATGCCTCCCAGTGGATAGTGACAGCCTGTCTATGTGATGAAGCCCTAAAAAAATGTTAGTATGATCCCAGGTATATCAGGTGAGAGATTTTCAGTGGAGAGCATAAAGGCACTGATGTCTCTGTGCTGGCAACTGGTGGTCCCTCTGGCTGGAATCTGTGGGGTGCTGGTTGCTTGAAGAATGACATATTTTTATAATCTACCATCAGGAGAGCTAAGAGGGAAGTACTTTTGTACTCTCGAAAAAACAGAGTGGAAAAAACTAATCTGAAGAATAATATTAGCACAAGAGCAAATGGGCATGTATAAATAACTAATTAATATAAATAAATTTTAGATGGAAGCTTAAGGTTTTTTTGTTTGGTAGTTTCTAAATATTGGAGTAGTGAGACTGTGACCAGCCTCCCATTATGAGTGATGGGTGAGAAATACCTAACCCACATTGTAGGAGAGTACGTGATCAGGGTAAGAAAATGTAATCCATGACTCAACAGCCTGTGTTAGCAAAGAACTATACTAGCTACTGGGAGAGAGGACTTTTTTATATTTCTATTCTTATATTAATTCTGAAAGCTTTGCTCTTACTATAAGCAAGACGCATTGGAAAATGTAAGCTACTTCCTCAAATTAAGCATGTTCTAATGTTTAATTCATTTGCATTTTAAAAATTAAACAATATTGAGATTGAAGCGACTGTTTTGCCTACAATCTCGCAGGAAAAAGAGTTTACCAAAAACCTGGAGTTGCACTGGATGCCGGTGCTGTCATCCCACCCTAAGTCTAAATACACTTTCTCTAGAAGTGTTGGATGCTCTTTTCTAATTCCTTTCTGCAACTTACGTATGTGTGTAAACATATATTAAAAATAAGTTAGTGTTTAACATCATCTGAACACATGCATTTGCTATGTGTTCTTGCATGCTCCTAATACTTTTTGTCTGTTCTTTATCATTATCTCCTGAGCTGAGTCAGATCCCCAGGTCTGACCTATGACGTGGCACAAAACGGGGGGATAGTACTCGATGGGAAGGAGGGACCAGGGGTCGGAGCTGCCTAAGCAGTGCTGTCGCTAACTGCTCATGGCCATCTCAGCTTGCCGTGCAGCAGGAAGCTGCTGCTCTCAGACGCACTGCTCCAAAGAAAATACTCTCGGAGCTTCCACAGCGTCTTCTGCAAGCCAGTGAGCCAGCCTAAAGAAACAAAGTTTTGTGCTTTAAACTGCTCAGTGGTGTCGTCTTGCCCAGCTGCCAGGAGAGGGTGCTAACTTGTTGGTCTCTGCTGTACCCACCGGGAAACATAAATGACAGTGTTTGAAAAAGGCACCTGACTTCAGGGAAAGCTCCATCTGTTGCTGTTGGTTTCATTGAATACAGCTCGCTCTGCCGGGAGGCTTTTCGGAAAGTTTGGGCATAGAGAACTGCACAGATTTCCCAATTCCTCAGACTTTGTGTCGAGCTCATGGCTTTTCTTTCAGGAATCAGAATATGAAGTTTTTAGTAATATCCCTTCAGCAAGGCAACTATCTTTTTGAAGAGGTGACCTCTGTAATATCACTTCAAAACGTCTGCAGGTATTGGGTCCTGCTGATTTTGTTCTTAAGAAGGGTTTTCTCTAGGTGAGGGGTATTAACCTAAAGGATGTAAATAGTTAACAGAGGCATATGGTTTTCTTTCAGATGTGGTTCTCTTAGTTTATTTTTAGCAAACCACTATGTGCTAGCTGATGAGACTATAATAGCTATGGCAGTTACTGAACCGTCAGTGCAGAACTGGTAATAAATAACCCAGAAAATATCTACTGCATCTGCATCATACTGAGAGCCTTTCTTGCAGTTGATTCAAAGAGGAAATGGAACTTGGGACCACTTAAGAAAGAAAACACCAGTTACATTGAGCTGAGAACAGGGGATCAACATGTTAGATTTTTAATTAAGACTGAGGCCATGGAATTAAGCATAGCTCAGAAACATACTGTAGTGAGAGCAGAACAGGATCCTTCTGCTCTTTCAGGAGTGTTTGAGCTGGGAGAAGTTAGGGGTACGAGAAACTTAATGTTTTGCTTTCTCTTTTTATGTTTATGCTTCAGTATCTGGGTACTGTGAGTACTCTGATTCCTTACCTGCACACAACATACACACACAGAGCACACAGTATCGGGTGCTTTATTGTTGTCAAAGCACTGAGAACACATACTGTTTATGTTCTATGCAATTTATGTAACAATGCTACATACAGAATTATTTAAGTCCTTGGATAGAGACATTAAAATTCCTTATTCTGCAATTTGTGCAGATTCATGCCACCTTAAATAAGCATGGCAGAAGAGACAGTGGTATCATTATCTAAAGCACGTGTATGTTCTTTAAACAGGCATTTTGTCCAAAGAGGTTGAAAGACATAGTTTAACACAAAAAGTCAAAGTTGTGTTGCTGAGTTTGACCTTTAGTTTTGCCTAGCTTGACAGCCCAGCTGTCAGTTGGAAAGCTTTTCAGTGATGGGTGAGGTATTGTCCAGGGCAGGAAAGTGACTTGGAAGATACTGATGTAAGGTTGAAAAGATACTCTGAAATGCGAAGGAGATTTCATTAATGATGATTCTGTGTACATTCCGATTTGGGTCACATAATGTGATGAAGTTGTTTCTCTGAAGAGACTGGATAGCATTTGGCTTGAGTTTTTTTGCTAATGAACATGTCTAAACGGTTCCCCCTGTTGTTCCATGAAATTTCTGGGAGGTGCTCAAATGTGATGATCTTCTTCCTCTTCAGGTGGATACAAGTTTGCAGAATGGTTTTGCCCCTGGTATGAAGCTAGAAGTTGCTGTCAAGTCTGACCAAAATACCTACTGGGTAGCCACCATCATTACTACCTGTGGGCAGCTGCTCCTGTTGCGCTACGATGGTTACGGGGAAGACCGCAAGGCTGATTTTTGGTGTGATATCATGACAGCTGATTTACACCCCATCGGCTGGTGTGAGCAGAACAAGAAGATTCTCAAAGTGCCTGAAGGTATTGGCTCCATATGCAGAAACGGGGAGTACATACAAAAGTATGCTTTTGTCTTTTGTAAGCCTGGCAGGTAGTCTTCATAATTGCTGTTATGCGCAGGTGGTGTTGCTGTGATGACAAGATGAGGTTGCCGTGTTCTTCTGAAATTCCTGTGACTTACAGTAGGAGGCTGCTCTTTCACCAGAGAGGACTTAGCATAATTTCAGAAGTGGACTTATTTTTACAGAGGCTTGTGGTTATCTTAACCATCACCCACCAAATTCTACTGCTTTGTCATTTCCTTTAAAGGTTTTGTTGTTTTGTTTTTTCTTTTAAGGTGCTACTGGTGAGTGTGCGGCAGATTCTTGGGAATTAGGCAGTGCAAGAGTGTGGTAATGTCTTGTTGTCTGAATGATCTTTAACAGGCAGGAAGAATCACAGTCTTTCTTCTTCACTTTTCGCTTAGGTATCAAGGACAAGATACCTGACCAGGAGGAATTCCTTCAGCGGGTGCTGAAAGGAGCATGCAGTGCTCCTGCTAACCTGCTGGAGGGGGTAAGTGCTGCGATGTGCTGCATCTTGGGTTTTGTCTTGGTTTTCCCCTTTGTCATTAAGGGAACCACTATTCAGATTGTCAGTTCAATTCCTTTTTTAAATTTAGGGAGCATTGTAGTATGCTGATGACCTTAAAGTTCCCCTCTCTAGTGTTTCCCATTTACAGTATTTAATTTTGATAGTGGTGTCTTGAAACATATCTGTCAGTGCAGGTTTGGGCTGTTCATTAATGCTGTCAAAAGAAAGACCTTTTTCAAACTCCCTTAGGTTTCAGTCTTCCTCCTGTTCTGCTCCTCCTTCATACAGCTCTAAGGAAATAACCCTTTATTTATCTAGCTTTCATGTTGTGCCCTTTCTCAGTTGACTCCTTTCACTAACTTTTTTTTTTTTACTAATGGGCAGGTTATTGTTTCACTTAAATCCTGCATCTTTGCTAGTGAAGAACCAAATTTTTATCCCCTCCTCTAGACTTAAAACAATATTTGCACCTCGTATCAGTGTCTGGTTGTAAAGTACAGAACATAATTTTTTTGAAAAATGCTGTTGACGTCTTCTTTACAACTAATGTTTTTATCTTTGTATCTTTTCTGTCTAGTCATCTTTGTATGCTAGATGACTGAGTTTTAGAAAGAGATTATTCATGTTTCCTTCAAACCTTGAATATATAAGTGATAATGTTTCTGAAAATGATGATGACGACTTAAGTGAAACATGTGACTGTATCTATAGGCAGTGCAGAAGCTCTGATGCAAGCACTAGTGATTCTGAACATTGTCATTTCTGTTGTCCTGTGTTAGTAAGGGACCTGTATTTCTTTACTTCTGTATTTGTACTTTATGCAAAAAGAATGTGTATAAAGAAGTGGAAATATGGGATTTGTTTTGGTCTGTTGTACAGAATAATTTGTGTTCTTTTTGTAGCTTCACAGAGGGAAAAATCCACTGGATCTCATTGCACCAGGCTCCCGACTAGAACTGCAAAACGTCAGGGATTCCCTGGAAGCCTGGATAGTCAATGTGGTAGAAAATGTTGGTGGGAGACTTAAATTGCGATACGAAGGGCTGGAGGATTCTGACAAATTTGACCAATGGATATTCTACTTGGACCCTTTCCTTCATCAAGTGGGGTGGGCAGCTCAACATGGATATAGCCTGCAACCACCTTTAGGTACTTCAAAACATTTATCTTTTATATGGTGGTCAGAAGCTAGAGAATATTGCTGCTGCTTTGGTGCTCTAAATCTGCCTTCTGGATGCATACAGTCAGTGTGTGATCTGGCAAATACTGTACCTAATGAAATGTAAGTGAAAACACCAGTAAATAGTCCTACAAGACTTTTCACCCACTCATTCAAAAGTTGCTAAGTGGTTTTGGCTGTCAAAACTTTCCACCTGTTTGTGGAAAAGGAGGAGCTGAGGAAGGGATTGCTTTCAGTTATTTTTGGTAGGTTTGTATCCTGGGCAGGGGGAAAGTCATCTGTTTTTGAAGTACTGCTCAACAGGAGCTTTTGCAACTGGGACTCCAAATCCACTGGGCTAATTAAGGGCTTGTCTAAAGAGGTATTACGTGGATATGAAAATGTCCTTAAAAATGGGTGCCCAGGGAATGAGTGCATGGAAGCGGAGGCAGAGGGTGGGACAGATTACCATGTTTTCCAGGCATGTGCATGTCAGGGTGGGTCATCAAAGAAGTGGGGCATAAAATGGCTGAAACACAAATGGATTGCTTATGAGCTGAGCAGTGACGTGACATGTTTCCTGATGAGGGGAAACCTTGAGATAAAACTGGAAAATGTTGAGCATTTTCCTAAAGCCTTTCTGCAAAGGCAGGTGTACATCTAAGGTTCTGGCACACTCTGTGCTGTTAGTTGGGGAAGTTCAGGTTGTTTAGAACAGTTGTTTTTGTTGTGTTTTTTTTTTAATGTTTTCCCCTTACGGCGAGAAGAAATCATGCTGAGGAAAACAAAACAATTTCCATTGAAATGACTGAGCATACTGCCTTTGCTAGTGCTTGAGCAATCTCTGCTGAAATCAGGATTTTGAACAGGGAGACGCCAAATCACTGACAGAAACAAGATGGGTGGATTCCACAGCACTATTTAAGTGAATAATGGCTTTTAAAAATATTAGTTAGCTACTAGACTTGTTTCCTTTTTATGTCTACATAAGAGCCTTTGATATACTCACAAGCTTAACTTCAGGGATTCTTTGTGCGTGATGGCACTGGTACAAGTAGTTCGTCTTCTACAGAGAGGTGTGTGGTCTGCCATTACAGATGCTAAAAGAGTAATTTATGCAACTGGGACAGAATTGTGGAACATTTATTGAGCTTTCTGCTTGCTTAAGCATAAAACAGACTAGCATTATCCAGGTAGGATTTGTTTTCTGGTCGTATGTTTCTCCAGAAGCTTTCCTCGGTGTTGATGTGACCTCCATTTTCTCAGAAAAACTAGACTGGGCAGCATATGGGTGATACTGCTGCTTGACTTCAGTCCCTTTTTGTAACACATCCAAATGTCTAAGAAAACAGTAAGTTTTTAAGAAGGAAGGTATTTGCACAGATTCTGAACAGATGTGAATTTAGCACTTGGAGGAGCACAAATCAAATTGTTTTCTGAGGGAAAAGAGGAAGAAAGAAGATGACTTCATTCAATGTTTTCCTTTCTTTCTACTCAAGTCATTAGGTCCTTGAAGAGCGAAGCACATTGGCAAGAGATCTTGAAGAAGGTAAAAGAGGAGGAAGAGGAGTCATCAGTTCCTACAGATCTCTTTAAGGTAAAGACACAAATGTGTAGTTAATGCTGTGGATGATAATCATGAAAATGCTATACTCCTAAGAAATGATTCAGGGAAATGTCCTGTTACTGAAACTTCTTAGGCTGTTTTGTTTTGGTGTTTTAATTTTTTTCCTTTCTCTCTCTATTTTAAAAAATCATACTATGATACAATTCTTGTTAAGTTAGACGACGCACCCATCAGAAGTATGTGAGCCATTAGTTATCATACTGGGAAAAATCCCTGGTTCTGATCCTTTATAATGGCATCTCCAGTTGTTCCCTAGCTGGTCTTGCGGATTACTGTCCTAGAGGAGTGCAGGGTTACTGCAGTCTCTCTAACTGTGTGAGTACACCGAAAAGTTTAACATCTGTAACACCTAATCTGTAACCTGATAAAGTCACACATGCTGTATAAAGTGTCCTGTTATATCCTGAGTGTTAGCAAATGTTACTACTGAGTCTGAATTTAAATATACATGAATTAAAATTTAAAAAAAAAAAAACAAACTTGACACGTTTTGAGAAGTAGGAATGTAAATTTAGTCCTTCAAGTTCTTAGTTCATTTTTCTCAGCTTCATTTGGATGTGTGGGCAGAATGTAACAGGAGATGCTGTTGCTCTTGAATGTATTGGGTCATATACAGAGCAGGATATACATAATTCTGGAGCAGGAACCCTGTTTTGCAGGTTTTTGTTAGGCTGAAAATGGAGACTTATAGTTCTCTTTTAGATTAGCTCATGATAAGTGCTAAAGGTTGGGGGGGGCGGAAATTTCTATTGACTTACCAGACCACCCTGTATTGTGAAATCTTGTTTCTGTGTGGAGAGTATCAGAGGAGGAAATCTTTGGGACTCAATTTCCTAAAACTCAGAAAACTATCAGTCTGAGAGAACATAGCTGGCCTTTTCTCTTCATTATAGAGAGGTTGCTGGTACTCCGACATTTTTATTTCTTAGAATGAACTAATAAAAACTCAAGTTATCCTCTTCAGTTGAATTACATAAGGTACATATTTTTGATGGAGGAAGGCAGGTAATCACTCTGATACTTCATTTTTCAGGATAAACCTGTGATTGGAGTGCATTCGTTCTCTGAAGGCATGAAGTTAGAAGCTGTGGACCCAATGGCTCCTTTTGTAATCTCTCCTGCTACAGTTCTCAAGGTACCAGGGTTCTTTAACTTGTCCCATTAAGATTCAATTCGATTGCTACTTCTCTTCTTAAATGCTCAGGAAATTCTCATTAATTGATTATCTTAGAATCTTGAACTAGTTTTCAAATTCAGTATTTTTTATGTCTCCCTTAGTGGACAGGTTGCCAGGAAAAAAAAAAGCTTAACTGCTGATGGTGAAGACATTGGATTTGAAAGTAGGGGAAAACTTCCATAAAGATACAAGTTCAAAAGGTCAAATGGCCGAAATTGTCAAACCAGATTTCTAAAATTAGATATAATCCCTCATAATCTGAGTATCCACTTGAAGATAGATTTTGGGGTTTTGTTTTTGCAACAGTTAATGGTCATTACTATGTACAGGCTCTGACGTTTAAGTAGCCTGGTTTTCAAACAAGGGCCCATACATGGATTTAAAAGTTGAAACGTAAACTCCCCAAAATAATCAGGTTTTGAGCAACTTCTATCCTCCTGTTTTAGTAAACGGGTAAAAGGTTCTAAAGAGACCTGCTTTGATGTAGTAAACCAAAATGTTACTGTACAACATAAAACTAGGACATACTTTAAAATTTTTTTTTTTATATATTTTCCAGGAACCGTTGCTTTTTCTTTAGGACAGGTAGTCTCTTAATATGATATCCTGCATTTTGGTGATCAATCTCTTTTAAACGCCAACATACAGTTTCTTCCAATAAGATGCTTACTTATTACTAAAAAGGTGCAACCAGTTCCAAGCAAAGCAAGATAATTTTCTTCTCTTGATATTTTCTTGTCCTGTTCCTAGTTACTTCAGGAGTGTAGTGGTTTTACTTGTGACAGTCCATCCTAGGACACAGTTCAACCTTGTTGAAATAAACAGTTTTGTTATTACAGAATGGTAATAAGACTGCAAAACTCTAATTTCTCTGCATTTTTCATAAGACAATTTCACATAGCACTTGATCACCTTATTTTTTTAAGTGCCCGTACATTGTCTTTTATTATTACTTATTTTTGTTAAGTTTCCAGATAATGAGAAGAGTCTGCTGGTTTATGAATCCCACAGATTCTTTTCAATTTTTTTTTTTTTACCCTCACAGTATTTTAAGGTAAAGGGTTTCCATAATGCAGTGTAGCTGTTTAGTAAAGTTACCAAAATGGGAGAGAGGGAGCAGTAGATCAGAATCTGCTACTTACAAGACCACATCGTTCTCTTTTGGCTAACTACAGGTATACAATGAAAAATATTTCATGATAGAAATTGATGACTTGAGACCAGAGCGTACAACCAGCCAGTCTTACATTTGTCATGTCAACAGCGCTGGTATTTTCCCTGTGCAATGGAGTCTGAAGAACGGCTTGCATCTCAGTCCCCCACCAGGTATGTTTGTTCAAGCTTGTCATGCTCGCTCCTCTTTGAAGGAAGTAGATTGCCAATCCCCAGAGTGCTATGCTTAGGACAACACTTTTGCAAAAGAATTACATGTAGTAGCACAAGCAAAGAACAAGAAAGATCAAATTCTGAGAAACAGGAGCTTTGAGTTAGTGAAACTGCAGTTTCCTGGGTACGTGCCTGGATTTGAGAAGATGACAGTGGCTGGGGATACTGGTCATGCATAAAAACCTGGACGCTTGAACGAGTGGAGTATGTGTTCCAGGGCTGAAGGCAATGTTGATTTCAGCATTAATTAACATTCTGATATCAGAAGCCTATAGTCTTTTCATTGGATTTTTGCTTCTGGTCGAAATGGAACGTTGTTATCCAATGTCTTACAATATTTTTAGAAAATCTTATCACTTAGAAGTTAATGAAGTATTTTTTTTCCAAGGACCTATCAGGCAAGGTAGCAGATTGCTGAAACATTGCTTCAGGACATAAGGGAATTGGGGAGTGATCCTCAGCTACTGAAATATTTATGCATTTTCTCAAAATGGAAATGTCAATGGTATTGTAAAACCAGGGACTCGGTACTCTTATTCACTGCCACAGAATTCGGAATGTTTTGTTTTAGCTGCTCGTGGCATCAGGGGAGCAAAGAGCATAGGATGTTCGTCTCTTGCCTTCCCTTGGGTAAGGTACGAAAACTGGCTTTGCTTGACCCAGCGTTACCTAGAATTTTGCATATGAATGATGAAATCTCAGCATGTGACTGGAACTGACAAAGATTTTAAGCTTCTCTTCTTGTAGGCCCCCCAGAAATGGTGGACATTCTGAATTGTCTCAAGAGTCCTACTGGCACTGATTAAACTGAGAAAAATAAATAGGTCCTTCTGTGGTTAGGCCCTGTCTGAGGGGTAGTTGAACTTAATGTTTTTAGATTGTCATGTTAATACTGTATTCTTAGACTAGTTTTAAAATTTTGTTTGATTTCTTAAACCTTTGTCACAGGCACCTCTTGTAGGGGAGTGCTTCCAAGGTACTACTGGAATAACTGCTTACTCCTTGCTAATATACTGCCAGCTTCAAACTGTCATGGCAGCACACTTCTGCACCCAGTTCCTTTCAGTTATTTCCTTTTTATTAGATCACAGGGAAGCAAGTATTTCCTCTTAAGTAGAATTTAATTTGTCTTTTTCTTGGAGAGATGCTATGTCTCCTGATGGACTCCCTTCAAACATGTATGCAGATTTACAGCTGTTAGCAAACTTGATGAGCCTCTTAGGATGACTAACTGCTCTCTTTAATGACTTGGTATTTAACATGTGTTTGAGAGAGTAATATGTTGGTATTGAGCACATTTTGGGTGCTCTGTTTTTTTTAAAAAAAAAAAAGTTTCAGAGCTGACATGACATTAATGAAGTAATCTTGTGGAAACTGCCAGAATTTCATTTGTTTGATGGAAAGGGTGCAAACGCTTCCCCGTGTTTCGATTGCTGCCCTTGTCTGCTGCCCTTGTCTGCTTAGCAGATGTACTTGATTCACGCTTCAGGTTGCTCTCTGTGAAGTCACTTTTAGTTTGAGCCTTTTCAAGTCAAAAATGGGAATCAAGGTAGGGCAGTGCCCAAAAGCTCCTCTGCAACAAAAATAAAGAGGATATCTCAAATATGTGAGAACCATGCTATGGGCTGACCTCAGATGGCTCAGTGAAGCCCTAGTCAGCTGACAAACTTGAGTGACCCAAACAGATTTCAGTGATCTATACTTCATGTCAGCTTGAAATGAGTCATTTGTTCTCATGCTGTTAAACTAACCCCTTTGCCTTTTCTTCACCTAGGTTATCCTGGGCAGGACTTCGATTGGGCAGACTACCTCAAACAATGTGGTGCTGAGGCAGCTCCCCAGAGCTGCTTCCCTTTGGTAAGGTTCTCTTGCAGAAAAATCTCTTTTCCATTATGTGAATGACACTCTTGATTCCAGGGAGAAGAACCTTTTGCATGTTTTTTACTTAAAGTACCTGTGATAACTAAGGAAATGGAAGAGTTAAGAAAGTGCAAATATATGTCAACAGTAGTAGGTGCATGCCAGCTTCCTAGATAAGTAAGTAGTGGACCAAATGCTTCAGTTGTGATAAAGCAGCTTGAAAAGAAATGAGTGTTTTGTAAAATTGAGATGTGTAAGAGTCCATGGAATAGTCGTTAAACAGTATCAATCCTTGGCACTCCTGTAATTGTGGAAACAGGGCCTTTTAACAGACCTTGTTTTCATTTACTTAATGTTCTCTTTCAATCTTCCTTCCTTTCAGCTTGAAAAATTCATTCCATTGTATTAATCAATACTAAGTCATCTTAAATTAGTACCAAATAATAATTTTAAATTAATCAGTGCCTGAAGTACTTGCTAGATTTTGGGCTTTTGTTGGTTCAGTGACAGTATTGCTCTCTCCCAAAGCAGAGTACCTTGTCAAGCAGAAAAGGATACTATTAACACCTGCCTTCCAATTCCATTTACAGTACTTGGGCTATTGCAGTGCTTAGGGGAAGAAATTAAAATGAATAATTACCATTTTTTGAAGAGGGTGTTGCTGGCTATGAATTCTTGTTCCCCTTGTTCTGTCTTGTAAGCTGTGGCATCTTAGAACAGGTCATTGAATTTATTATCCCTTTTCTGAGAAGAGTTGATCACTGTAGGCTAGTTCCAGAATTCTTAATGTATTGATCCTGTAGTTATGTTGCAGAGTGGCTCTGGGAGGAAGAGTCCGTCTGGCTGTTACTTCTTATCTTTAATTCAGGTGCCTCAGACCTGGATAAATACCCATTCTTACGTTTTAGGAATTTTTCCAATAAATGGGGACTAAATTGGTGAATAAAGTGAAATCCTACTTATCCAAAAAACGTAAAATGAAAAGAAAGCTTCCTTTGCTGTCTGCCAGAACTCACGTGGATGAGGCAGGAATGTTATTTGCATACGTAAAATGGATTTCCAAGCTGACATAATAGAATAGAGAGCCTGGTCAGACTATTTGTCAGACTTGTCACTTAAGTAGCAAGCAGCAGAGAATTCGTGGTTGCTTAGAATGCACTCAATCCTTTCAGTGAGTCTCAGCATCCTTATTTTTGAGTACAAACATGTTCTTTTCTAGGACTGTCTATAGAGCCTTTTTTAACTTAAATTCTTCATAGTTTATAATGTATCTTACTTGTATTCAATGTGCTAATTATCTGAAATCTTCTCTGACTGCATGAATATCTTTCTGTGTTACTCGAACACTGAGGCTTTTATGTGTTGCTCCTGTTCATGGCTATTCATATCATATACTGGATATACAGATGGTATTTTACTGAAGTATTCTGTCTTATTCCTAGTTAACTTCTGACCATGGATTTAAAGAGAATATGAAACTTGAGGCTGTGAACCCAGTTGATCCTGAAGAAGTTTGCATTGCTACGGTCACCAAGTTGAAAGATTCCTACCTCTGGCTTCAGCTGGAGGGTAAGCCTGATGTGGGAGAGGAGAGTAGCACTTGCATTGATTCTTCTGTAGTACCATCATCAAACCTGAAAAGTATCTGGAGCAAACTCACTGCCTGCTGAATATGGGCAGCAAATCACCATTTCCTTAATGAAAACAGCAAAAACCCATTTGCATTGTCTGTTTCCCAGTTAACCTTGGACGGCAGTGCTTATTTAAGCTGGGCAAAAATGGCATTTGTGCATTACAGTGTGTCAGTGCTAGGCTAGTGCACTGTGCAGAGTGCTGATCAGTGTCTTTTAGAAAGCAAGGGCCTTGTAACATTTTTACAAATGAGTGACTTGCATTCTGAGCAAGTTTTGACCAGACCTAGGAAGAAAACTTTTAGAGAGGTTCTTCATTAAGATAGAATAGGCCTATGTCAACCGTTCTCATTATAATACCATTTCTTGATTGGAAGTACATCAGCATGCGCTTACTATATCTGCACTGTGCATCTCTGCTAAACTGTGGATGGCAGATTCCCATCTCCAGCCTTTAGGAGGAAGCAAATGAGGCCAGGAAGAAATGTGGTCAATAAAAGGGGATGAATAAACAATTGATATTGTGTTCCAGATACGTCGTAAGTAAAAGCAGCTTCACTGGCAAACATACAGCTAGCATTAACCAAATGAGGTTTTTTATTTTTGTAAGTTGTTTCAATTTTTGCTTCTCTAAACTGAACAGGCTCCAAGAAGCCCGTCCCTGACTGTATAGTGAGCGTGGAATCGATGAATATATTTCCAGTGGGTTGGTGTGAGACGAATGGATACCAGCTCAGACCTCCTCGCAAAGCAATAGGTATCAGTTCTGTTCTGGTTGCAGTGGTTAGCTGGGTTGATAGAGGTGATGAGACCTTCAAGAGCAGGCTACTGCAGAATAATTGCAGGCATCACTGAATTTGGAAACACTCACCACATACAGAGAATCCATGCCTTGTGCAACTGTTCCCCTGGCTGTTAGGTCCAGTTGGAATCCATACAACAACTCCAAAACAGGCAGTGTTGGCTTGAGACCCTTGCACGCTGTGCGAGCGCGTGGAAACGATCCATTAGTCGCAATAAAGAAATCGTATCTGTGTGTATGCACACATGCCCATGCTATGCATATACTTTTATCTGAGCTGTTCTTGCATGTGTCTGACCCTGATACTGATTTTATACTTGCACTTGTGCACGTAAAATTAGTGCCATAACAAAATGGTGTTGAGTGTGTATACATTTTGGAGTTGAAATAAAGGGGACTAGCTTTCTAAATGGGCCAGGTGGTTATGATCCCTTAATGACAAAACGTGGAAAAGTAAATCCTACCTGTTTTAACTACACTAGTAAGTAGCATAAGATAGTGTTTTCTCTCAACTGGTTAGTGAGCTCTGTTTATTAAAGTTTAATGGGAGTTGGAGAAACTGAAGAACTTCCTGAATATTTATTAAGTAAGATAATAAAATTGTAAGATTGGAATGAGCTGTCATTTACTGCAAGTCAAAGCAAGAGAAATCTGAGACATGTCTGCACTGCCAAGGACAGAGGAGTAGAGGGTAACCTAATTAGAGAAAAGATGCTTTAAAAAAAGATCCAGAAGTTTGGGGACAAAGCCTGAAATTGCTGAAGAGGCACATACTGCATTACCTTGTTTAATATTGTTGCCTGGTTGGGAAAGCCAGAATTAGCAAGTGGACCCATCACCTAGTTGACTTTCTTAGTTGCAACAGTGTTTTCCTCCATAGCAATTGGCTTAAGTCATATATGTTTCTAACCAGCTAATTTCATTCCATTCCAATATTAAACAGTGTTGAAGTTCCCTGTGCCAGTAAAGTGGTGAGTTAGGCCTATGAACCTAACCTTTGGTGAGGTTTCAGCACCTTTGGGTGCTGAAAAGGAAAGCCTATCATTCCTTTTCGGGTGGTGTTACAGGTAGTTTAGGGGCCATGATGCAAACAAAGATGCACAAAAGGTGAGATCTCGTAGAAGACTGGGGATATGCATGCCTGATTTAATGAATTTTTAGTGAAAGTTGAAGTAAACCTTTTGGGTTACTTCAAATTATATGGGCCAGCATGTCTATAGTGCAGATGGATCAGCTATCTAACATTGCAGTGACTTTGAATATAGATTCTTTTTGGCATATAACTTAGAAGAAATGAGTCAAGTATATATATTGTACTAGAAATTTCATTTGTTTGCCTCCCATACTTTGCTGTTTATATTTTCTTCTTCTTCCTTTCAGTAAACAAGCAGAAAAAAATTGCAGTAGTTCAACCAGAGAAACAGTAAGTACCAGGTTTTTTGCTTTTATTTTTTGTTGGGGTTTGTTTTGTGTGGGTTTTTTTCTTTTTCTAATTGGTAAATCATGTTGTCTTAGGGGAGATTTAGCTTTACATAAGTGCTATACTGAGGGTTGAGAGATTCTGCAATCCATTTATCTTAATGCTGGCAGTTCCTGTTGATGTTGAAAAAGACTTCTTGCACTGCTATAGTAGGAGATAGAAAGCATGGAATTTGTTTTTTAACAATGCTAGTGCAATTCAGCTGAATTATTGAATAGGTCAAGTCATTGAAGTTCTAGGGTTGAAACTGTTGATCTTTCATTTTTAAAAGATTGCATTATCTGTGAGTATTGGAGTGCAATTAAGAAAAACTAGCCTGATCTTAAGACTGTATTTATAAGTTTGTGCTTCAGCCCTTTTTTAATGGTGATTAATAGGGAAAATTACTGGATTCCCTTTTGGTTGTATTCCCTTCTCAAATAATACAGTTTCTGTAATGTAAACATGCTTAGAAAATGTGGCTGCCTTAACATGTAGCTGTGATTGTGCAGAGCTGATGAGAAAATTTGGCTTTAGTGTGAATATTGTCATTTAGTAGATGAACTTCTAATAGTTCCTTCCCAGATTAAATTTGGCCCAGACTAGCCAAAAAGGAGAGTTCTGCTAATATCTACAATTTGTCTATAAACTCTTTCATGAATGAAACTCATATGAAACTCCTTCATGTGAGCCTGCTCAAAAATGCTCAGTAGAATGCCTGACAGTTGGTTTTATTGACTCTTACAGCTTTACAAATACCAGATCTGTCAGTAGTCCTGCCAATGTTTTCATTGCTCCTAAAATACTGAGCAGACTGTTCTTCCATGTTTTGTAATTGGAATCCTTACCAGTGTACTTGAATCGTTTTGGTTGTATTTTGTTTAAAATCCATCTTTTTCAAAATGCATAAGGTCAGACTATACACTGCCTTGTGCCATGAAATGTGAAATGAAGTTAAAAGGCGGCAGAAAATGTAAACTATTGTCAGTAGCTTTGTGTGGTGTGTTTATCAGCACAGTAGCCTGTATGCTTCAAGCAAGGAAGGATTGCTGCTAGCTGTAGCAGTATAGTAGTCCTTTCCAAATTGAATTTGATAGTCCTTGCATGTTGTTATTGTGAAACAGGGGAGGTATAAAAAGCAGATTAATAAGGCTGGACCTGGAGAAAAAAAAAAAATTAATGGTTGGGTTTTAGTAACTGAGAGGTGACTATCCTTACCATCTGTCCCTTTTCCCAATCTTCTTTTCATTTCAGAATTTTGTCTTCAAGGACAACAGTTCATGATGGACTAAAGAACCAGGAACTGAACACTTCTGACTCAGGTACTGATCAGAGAGGGCAGGCTAACAAAGTCAAAATCCTGTAACAGTTTAGCTGCCTCATTGTTCAGCTGCTCAACACTCTTCTATTAGGAGAGGGTAGAGGAGGAAAGGGTTTGAAGATTTTCATCCCTTGATGATTTGTTGAACTTCAGAAAAGAATGAAACAAACAAAAACATACAATTACTTGTGTCCTGCAATTGATATGTGCATTAAACCTGGCAATTAGATTTTACACCAGAACATCCCCCCCAGCAGAGGATATGTGGAGCCAAATGTGTACTGTGACCTATGCAGATGATTTTTTATTGTCACCTGTTATGTTTAATAATGTTGAGAGAAACATAACAGGCGCACTGCATCTGTGCTCTTGAGTTGTTAGATTCTAGCTTTGAGAAGCAGGTTTGTCTGTTTTTTATGATAACTTCATCATCATGATAAACAAAAGCAATTCAAACAGTAAACTGCTTTGTGTGCCAGATGGCGAAATCTAATAATTTTCTAAACTGTTGCAAGAATGAATATGATGAATAAGTACATCTGCTGGTGAAACAGTCATACAGATCTATCTGTTTGGCAACAAAATGCCTCTTCTGCTGTTTTCTGTACAGTGAAATGCACATCTGAAGCTGCACCAAATGCAAGCTTTATAGAAATGATTCGTGCTTGCTTAGCATTTTAATTGGCTTTTAATAGAATCATAATGTAAATTTGATTTCATTTATTATCTGACAGTTACCAACTACTGAATTTAAGACCTTTAAGTGATAGTGTTGCTCAATCAAGAAAAACTACAACACTGCTAGGGTAAAACAATTTTGTATTTATACAGAAGTATCTTGCAATACAGATTATACATAACTTCAATTTTGAGCAGCGTTGAACCATTTAATAGGTTTAGAAAACTTGATGTCACTTCATCAAAGGTCACTTCATCAGTTGCTGCATCTTTTGTTTGCTGATTGAGGGAAAAGAGTTTAAAAATGCAAAGCAATGTGATACTGCAGTTTAGGATAAACAGTGGAGAATAACTTTGCCAGCTTCTCTGGTGGCAGAAGTTTGCGGTAGAGATGATTACTTGACTGGAAAATTTATCCATAATTGCTGTGTAGGAAGTGCTTCTGCTACCAAAAAGTTGGGATTGTCATCTTCTTGCCTGTTCTCACCGGTGTAGTACCATGAAGCATCAGACTAGCCAGGAAGAAATGTTTCTTTTCTGATAAATGACCAACTTTATTTCCTGTAGTTTGACAATTTGCAAGCATGCATGTGAAGTATGAAAAATATTTTGGTAACATCGAATAACTAGTGCTGTCATTGCAAATGTGGCACTGAAACTACCCCAAATTCATGTCATTCAAGACTTTTCCCCCTCCTTTTCTACAGCAGGCAAAATATTACGAATTGTAAGAAGTCATTCTTTGCTGCGGAGGTTGTAGCATGTGATTTAAATCTTTGCTTTCTCATTTCTCAGTGGTAATTAATGGAAAGTACTGCTGCCCAAAGATCTACTTCAACCACCGGTGCTTCTCAGGGCCTTACCTTAACAAAGGCAGGATTGCAGAGCTTCCTCAGTCTGTGGGACCTGGGAACTGTGTTCTTGTTCTGAAAGAGGTGAGGTGGTTGTACATAGTGGACCTGCATATAACAGCGTATAATAAATGCAAGAGTATGTCTCTAATTATAGATGGGTAATTAATAAAATTAAGCTGATAATGAGTAAAGAGGTTTTTTTGTATAAAATCAAGTATAAATCATGGACTGTTTTATGAATGGCTGGAAAAAGCAAAAGCCCCTCATTTATCTGAGTTACAGGCAGCCTTCTACTGCTAGACTTTATTTTAGGTTAAAACAGAGTAACCTGTAATTACCACAATCAAAAGAGATAGTATCTTTTTATAGCTGTAATAAATGCTTCAATTTTAATTAACAGAATTTAGCTTCAGATAATCCCAAAATTCCTTTACAGTTTGCACTGTTGATGTTATAACAGAGGAAATACAGATTTTCTTATTTTCTTAGTAGAAATGGCAAACTATTTTCAATAATTGGAAAATTAAAAGAATTCTCTGTGTTTTAAGTTGGATATGATTTGCAAAGATCAGATGAAATTGTGGGTTTGCTTTCCAACATAACTGAGGGAGGGGAAGAGGGAGGTAGAGACCATTCTTTAATGCCAAAGAGCCTCTTCTTCAGAAGGTGTTTCACAGCAAATTTATAGATACTTTAATGCAATCATTATTTTTCTGAAATCTCCAAAAAGATCATGGGATGGTTATTATCTGACCTGAGAGGCTGAAAGTTTCCCAAAACATAACTATATGTGCACACTTGAGCTCTCATGAAACAATCACTTTAAATACAGGAATTGGCTCAACATCTCTGGAATTTTTACCTTCCCTACCACGTATCATAACTGGGAGAGACCTTAAGAAAGACTTTCTGACAGACATGCTGTCAAACAAGAGTCCGGTGGACAAGAGTGAAGCTGGTTATTGAAAAGTTCAATTTTTGCATACAGAAAAGTACCTCATCCTTTCTGCAAGTTTCAGTACTCTGATGTAAGCACTCCAAAAGAGCAAGTGTGAAATTCTGTGGCAGCTTCATTTAACCTTGAAGGTTTAACCTGCTTCACTGCCTGAAAGCATAAAATATGCGCAAATCCTGCTGACATACAGATGCTGAATGTTGCTAAAGCTTCAACCAATATGCTTAGTTGTATTCGTTTCAATTATGACTCTTGCTCAATGTATGAATCCTAGAGTGAGTTTGGTACTTACATTATATTTAATACTCTTCTTTTGAGTTACAGACCTCTGGACTGCTGCATTAGTAGGACTGAAGCTGCGAGTTTGTTATGTCGAGGTTCTGATGCACCCAATTTGGGAATGATTTGGAATAAACACGTACTGAAAATAAGAAATACAATTTGAATGCACATTTTGTACTATCCCCCACTAACTTCAGGCTGTTCACAATTTATTATTATTATT